TGTCCTCGTCTATAAAATGAGGATAACTACCTCAGTCCTGTTGAAGTTGATAATATTAAATGCAGTAATAACAGCAGGATCACTCTGGGACATATGTCATGTGACTGATGTTGAAAGCTTTCTAATATCTGAAAAGATTATCAAATAGCACAGGGCATGTGAAAAGCATTCAAAATTACATGTTACCCCTTGAGGCCCTATGTACCTGCATCTCCGTGAGGGCCTTTTTTTCTAAGCTTTATTTGAGAGAGAGAAAGCATGCGTGCCCGAGCCAGGGGCTAGGGGGGCAGAGGGAAAGCGAGAGAGAAACCCAGGCAGACTCTGCACTGAGCTTGGTGCTGGACTTGGGGCTCGATCTCACGACCCTGAGATCAGACCTGAGCCAAGACCAAGAGTTGGACGCTTAACCGTCTCCACCACCCAGGTCCCGTCCCCCAGGCGCACCCCCCTCCAATCCCTTGAAGGCCTGTTTGACCGGTCTAAACTGAGATCTTGCCTTCCTCTGAGCTCCTAGCACCTCCTGGTCAGTGCAGGTCAGAGGCCCTTTGATCTGTGGCTTTTAGAATACTTGGCTCTTCTGCCCTCTGAACCTGTGGCGCCCGAGGGCGTAGCCCGGCTGCCTGGTCGTGGCCTGCACTAGGCTGCTTTCCTTGGGAGCTGTGGACTGGCCGGCTGCGGGAGCATCTGTGTTATAGGGAAGCGCAGCCCTGCCTGGGGGTGTGGGCCATGCAGCGCTCTGCCGTGGCGTGGGGGTGGAGGGCGCCAGCAGCCCTGCACCCCAGCTCTGCCTTGCTGGCCAGGGCCCTGCCCGGGGTTCCCAGACCGCCTGCTGGATCTCCCAGGGCCCCCTGGCTATTTCCCAGCACTTGCCAGAGCCATAGCTATCCCTGGAGGAGTCCTGAGAGTGACCACCTCCTCCGCTGCCTCCTCAGGGTGGAGTCCATGTCCCTGGCTGACAGGGGAAACCCGGGAAATATCACTTCGCGCTTGGTGGAGAAGGAGAAGGCCAGAGATTGCCTGATTCCTATGGGGTGAGTGTGCCCCCTCAGCTCCCTTCGTGGCCTGGAGCAGGCGCACAGAGACTTGGATCATCTGGTGGCCTCCTGCCTTCGGGCTTGTTCTGCTTTGCTGGGCCATGGGGATGGGACTTGCTGCCCCTGACTTCCCTTTCCTGAGGCCTCCAGGTCCTCTGTGCCTCTGGGTTTCCAGTCATGGCCCAGCCTGTCACTCCCACCCTGAGGGGCCAGTCACACAAGGAACGATGGCAGCTGCATGCCGAAGTCTTGGAGGCCTGGGACCTTCAAGTGGAAGGGCTTTGAGTTGGAACACACTGGTGAGGGGGCTTGGGTCCTGTCAGATACAGCATCACAGTGCCTTGCATTTGCTCGGCACCTTAGCTCTGCAGCCAACGTCGCTGAGCCTCTGGGCCATCCCCCCCAGGTTCATAAGCAGGGAGTCATGGCTCCCCTGAAGGTGAGATTTGAGGCTCAAGAGAGGAGTAGTGCCCTGGCTGCATCCACATCCAGTGACCCCACCTCCCAGGGAAGTCTCTAAAGCTAGAAGCCCAGGTGGGAAGCTCCAGCTGCGGCTGTGGGTCCCCAGGGTGAGGGCTGGCTCTGGTCACAGTGAGCAGGAAGCCTGGAGGAGTGGGGCTTTCTCCCCCGCGCCCGGGAGCAACTTTCCTCAAGGCATAGGAGAAGCTGGTGAAGGGTAACCCGTTCGTGTCCCCACCTGTTCCCTCATCTGCCCCTCTGCTGGGCTGGCCTTTCTGGTGTATAAGCTTCTTGGGGTCCGGCCAGCCCTGCTGCCTCCCTCCCTATGCCCCCACACTCCACCCGGAGTCATCTTCTGTCTCCATGGCGTGGCCCGGCCCTCCTGTCCTCCCCTGCCTACTGCTGCAGGGACCCAGAGTTGCAAGCAGAGCTCTGCGGCCCGGCCCGGCCCAGGCCCCCAGGCTGCTGGGCACGTCCCCACGGTGTGCTGGTTTTGTTTTAGGATAACTTCGGAGAACGTAGCTGAGCAGTTCGGCATTTCGCGGGAGAAGCAGGATACCTTTGCCCTGGCTTCCCAGCAGAAGTGAGTGCTGTTTGGGATGGGGAGTGCGTAAGGGGCTAGAGAGTAAGGTTTTGAGGCTAGATTAAGTGGCCTCAGGTGGAGCTGCCCTTTGGCTAGGCAGTGAGTGGTTTCCAAGCCTAGTACCTGCCAGGAGGGAGAGGTGGGCAGGGACCAGGACGTGCTGGAAGTGCGTTGGTAGCTCTTCCATGTCCTTTTACTGTCTGCTCACCCTGAGTCTCTCCCTAGCTGGGCTTCAGTTTCCCCATCTATTCATCAGGAGTGTAACGAGGGCCAGGACTCTGCTCTGATTGTGGTTTGGTGATTCGACATGGCAGCCATAGGCTTCTCTAGATAGCCTGGGTTATAGGGCCTGCACTGCTGGGGACCCTGGCATCCCAGCTTCTGGACCACTCCTGGGTCTGGGGTAGCATCAGAAGACCCTCAGGAGCTCAGGCCTCTGGGCAGGGGCAGACTGAGGTTGACAAGCCCCAGATGCCCAGAGGTGACAGCAAAAGAAGGGAGTGGGCTTCTCTGAGGCAGTGGTTCATAGGCACTTGGGGTCAAGGAAACATTTGAAAACTTGGTGAAAACTGTGGAATCTTCCCCAGGGGAAACCCCTGGTCACTGATATCTTGCATATGATCGCAAGGATCACCCTAAAAACACTTTGTGCTTTTGTACTGTTTAAATACTAAGATTCATTACATAGTTTAGTGTATGTCATTTTAAATGTGTGGAAACTGGGGAACAGATGAAATTGAGCCATTGGGATAGAAGAGCCAAGTTGGTAGAACCCAGCACAAGTATTCCTGGGGCTCTGTCTTCAGTTTGGCCCAGAGAACCGAGCAGGCTCAGTCCCTCTTGGGTGAAGGGCTCAAAGGGGGAGGCACCACATCTAAACCTCCCCTTGCCCTTCAAGTTTGCGATTGGCCAGGATCTGAAGATAGGAGGCTGATGGCAAAGAAGGCCCCATAAGGCCTCAGGCCTCCCACTCCCAGGCTGGGGAAGAGGGGCCCTCAGCTCCCCTGAGGCGAGCGTGTCCCCATGTTTAGCAGCCTGAGCTTGTCTGCCCCAGTGGGCAGGGGTGGTAGAGGCAGTGGGAGAGACCCCTGGAAGGAAGGGACCCCTGGGAGGAAGGGACCCCAAGGGAGCCTGAGCCTGGCTGTCCATGGTGCTGGCAGGGCAGCCAGAGCCCAGAGCAAGGGCTGTTTCCAAGCTGAGATTGTGCCTGTGACCACCACGGTCCAAGATGACAAGGGCACCGAGAGGAGCATCACCGTGGCCCAGGATGAGGGTATCCGCCCCAACACCACCATGGAGGGCCTGGCCAAACTGAAGCCTGCCTTCAAGAAGGGCGGCTCTACCACGGCTGGTGAGACTGGGCTGGGGGAGGGCCAGGAGGGGCAGTGTCCATGTGGGCTGTTCTCTGGGAGCCTGGAGCCCCCAGGCAAGGTGTGCAGGTGGAGCTCCTCTGCCCTGCCCTGCCGCGTCCTAACCCGCACGATTTGCCTCTAGGAAATTCTAGTCAGGTGAGTGATGGGGCAGCTGCCCTCCTCCTGGCCCGGAGGTCCAAGGCAGAAGAGTTGGGCCTTCCCATCCTTGGGGTCCTGAGGTCCTATGCGGTGGTTGGGGTCCCACCTGACATCATGGGCATTGGACCTGCCTATGCCATCCCTGTAGCTTTGCAAAAAGCAGGTAAGGTGGTTCCTTCGCAATCTGCATCTGTGTCCCACCCCTGCCTGTCGTGCTGGTGCTGGTGTGGGGGGTGGTCACATGAGTGCTGCAGAGTGAAGGTGGGTCAGGCCAGCCCCTGTACCCCAAGCCCTTCCTGACCTCACAGCTGGGACCCACCTGCCCATGTGGATTAGACACACCGAGCAGCGTTTAGGCCATGGCTGGGATGGGGACACTGGGTCAGCTCAGGTCTTTTCCTCCGACCCAAAGGGCTGACGGTGAATGACGTGGACATCTTTGAGATCAATGAGGCCTTTGCAAGCCAGGTGAGCTTTCCTTTCTCAGTGTTGCCTGGGCCTTGGATAGCCAAGTTGGAGCCAGTGGGCATTGGGTACAGGGGTTGGGGAGGGAACTGTAGCTGATGCTCTGCCTCCTTCCAGGCCGTCTACTGTGTGGAGAAGCTAGGACTCCCCGCCGAAAAGGTGAACCCTCTGGGGGGTGCAGTGGCCCTGGGCCACCCATTGGGCTGCACCGGAGCTCGACAGGTCATCACGCTCCTCAATGAACTGAAGCGCCGTGGGAAGAGGTAAGCTGGGGTACTGAGGGGCCGGCATACATGCACACACACTCTGAACGGAGGACACAGGGCTGTGACCCCCGTTTTCCCTGGGGGCCAGCGGGAAGGGCACCCTGGCCTCCAGCAAGTACCTGCCACCGTGTGTGTTGGCTCAAGTGGGCAGTCTGGGGAGAGCTCAGTGGTGAGGCCTTGGCCTTTGGTGCCTTCGCCCAGCCAACATAATCTTGCTTCCCCAGGGCATACGGGGTAGTGTCCATGTGCATCGGGACCGGGATGGGAGCGGCTGCTGTCTTTGAGTACCCCGGAAACTGAGGAAGGCCCCACCTAGTTCTGCCCTGGTGGTGGTGGCGGAGGCGGCACCGTGATGAACCTGAGCCCTGGTGACACAGTACGGGCCTGCCTTCTGCCAGGTCACCCAGGCCACCATGTGGGTCCTGGAGGTGAGGAGTGCAGCAGACAATAAATATGTATTCTCATCTTGGTGGCTGTGGTGTTTCCCAAGGGCCAGTTCTGGCTGTCAGGGGTCTTGCCTCTAGCCCAGCTGTGTGCTGAGGGCACTGCCCTCCCAGGGAGTCCCTTCCCTCCCCGGAGCTGCTTGGGGGGGTCCTCCGGCGTGCACCCCTGCCCAGCAAACCTGGTCCTTAGCTCTAGGTCATGATTTATTTGCAAAGCTGGGGGAGCTGAGAGTAGAGCCTCAGAGCTGGTGGGGTGACACATATTTCTCGTCATAAGAGCCTTGGCCCCGGAGCCGTAGGGTGCAGGTCTTCTCACCAAGCACGCCTTCCACCACCAGCGTGGACTCATACAGCTCACTGCTCCTGGGGGGTTGGGGGCGGTCAGCTACTGGGGTTAGGAAGGGGGCTCTGGACTGTGGGCAAGGCTGAGAGGGGCTGGTACCTGGCAGTGAAGAAAACCTGGAGGGTGATGGTATTTGGGGGAGCATTGACCAGTCGTGCCTCCAGCAGCCCACTATTTGGAGACACCCTGAAGGCCGCAGGGTCCTTGTCCGGCTCCTGCTGGCCTGCACCGAGGGAAGGGAGCACGCTCGAGCATAGGCAGCCCCGTGCACCGCCCCAGCGAGCCCCCGCCCCGCCGCTCAGGTGCGCACCTCTGGTCCGGCCCGGTGCCACGGGGCGAGGCACCCTGGGGTCACATGGGATTTGGGAACCGGCCATCTGCGGCAACCCCCAGGTGGTGCCGGCCGGCGGGGGAGGTGGTGCGCAGGTACAACCTACCCATCAGCACAGCCCAGTAACTCCGACAGCCGCTCAGGTTCATGAGGTAGACCTCCCGGACCTGTCCCTGGTTCACAAAGCAGGTCCCGAAGTCCACCCAGCTGGTGGAGAGCTGCAGCTCGGGCACGGCCACCGTGGCCCTCAGGGGCACCACCTAGGGGGACAGAGCCTGCAGTGTGGGGCCCTCGTGCCCTCCTGCTGACCCCAAGTCCCGAAGCTTCGGAGGAACACATGGGCAGCACCACAGCGAGTGGTAGGGGGCTGGCGCCGGCCTCTAAAACCACGGCCGGTGGGGGTCTGCGCCGGTAAAGGTTCCCAAAGACGCCATCTGCTCTCCCTCCGCCGCCCCTCCCCCTGCCCTGATCAAGCTGGGTGGTTTCTGCTCCCTGGTCAGGCTGCCCTCCCCCTCCTCCCCCAGCCCCTGGGGTCCCAAGGCCCAGCCCTCTGCCCCTCCTGGGCTCTGGGCCATCTCACCTCTTCCCTTGGCCTCAGGCCCCCCCTGTGTGCTGACCCGCCCTCGCTCCTGGCGGTCCCCCCCCATCAGCCTCAGGCACCGCCACACACACCTCATCGGCTCAGCCTTCCCGCCCCTGGGCCCCAGCAGCCGCCCAAGGACCAAGCTGGAGGGCCTGCCTGGTCACAGACGGATTCTTCCTTCCGGCCTCCCTGGAATCCAGCCCTTAGGCTATTCCTTTCTGTTCCTCACCTGTACCTTCCAGCTGGGAGGCTTCACGTGCCGCGTACCTCCTCCAGGAAGCCTTCCCTATTTCCCACCCCACGGCCCCTCACCTGGTTCTGAGCTGAGATGGGTAAGGAAGGATGACCCTCATTTCTCCACGCGTGTCCTCAGGGAAAGGCCTCTTCCAGGGCAGACCGGGCCCTCAGGGCGAGGCCTGGGGCTCCTCTGATTTCGGAAGGCCGGGTCGGGGTCTGCCCTCCTCTGACCCCCGAGAACAGAGTCTGGCCCGTTTCCGCCCTCTCCGACATGGGGCAGGCCTGGGACTCACCTGAGTGGTCTGGTTGGCGTACTCCAGGAGCAGGTTCTGAGTAAACACCATCTCTTTCTCCCCACTGGCGCGCTGCCGGATGTCCACTCCGGGCAGCATCTGGTCAGCCGGGAGCCTCTGATAGGAGAGCAGCTCCAGGGACAGCGAGAAGGACACGTTCACCTGAGCAGATGTGAACAAGCCTGTCACCTGAGGCTGCCGAAGGCCGGCGGCGGCTCCCCCACCTGGAGCCCCGTCGTCCTTCCCTCCGCGGCCCCCACTGCCCGGCAAGGCCCCAGCTCGGCCCCTGTCCACACGCCGCCTGCAGGGCCAGCCCAGACTGAGCCAGCCCGGCCCGGCCCGCAGCCAGTCCGGTGCCTTCGGTCCACAGACACGGCGCCCCGCTCTGTGCCCAGCACCCTTAGTGCTGGGGACAGGGCCCTGCCTGCCCTCAGGAGCTGAGGACCTCGAGGGGGAGACTACAAGCAAACCGCCCTTTACCCCTTGGCATGACCAGGGCTGCGGATGTGGGGTGAGAGTGGGGAGACATGGAGACTGAGGACAGGCAACAACAGGATGTGGGGGCTGGGTGGTCAGGGGGCCAGGGAGGAGGATGCCAGGGCTCTGCTTGGGCACAGGGTCGGGGGCAGTGGTATTTGCTGAGATCAAACGCTCCCAGCGGGAGTGGAGGCCCAGGTGTGGGCAGGACTGGGTGCCGAGGACAATGGAGAACTGAGTTGGGGCTAGAATCCTGCTCAGGACCAGATGCCCGGGTTCCGTCAGCACATGGAGGGTGCGAGGTAGTACTGTTAGGAAATGTCCTCTCTCCAAGAGCCCTGGGGCTCCGAGGCATTTTAAAGGGACCTTTACTTGGCGACAGCCTGTGCTTTCATGGGTGCCCTGGTGGAATAGGAGCTCTGGCTGTGCTTCGGGGCTGCCCCTCAGTTTACCTCTGAAGAAGGGAGCAAAGGCGAAGTGAGCCCAGGGGGCCCGCCCTTCTTTCTTCCATAGCTGTTTCGCCCCCCACGGTGAGGTCCCTGGGGGAGCGTGGCACCTCGCACGGCACCTAGCCCGCAGCAGGCACTCGGTACACCCATACAGAGTGCAGCCTGGAAGAGCGGACGGGCCCGCCCGCTGAGGCTGCGGGAGCGGACGCCACGAGGGTGTGCGGTGTCTGGACACCAATGTGTACAAGCGCGTGATGGTGGTGTGCACACGTCTGTGTGTGTGTGAGGGGAGGGTGACCCCTGGCTCGGGTGACCGCCTGCAGAGCCCCCACTGACCAGCATGTTCTCCTGAGGGTGGAGCACCAGCTGCTTGCCACCGGTGGCCTGCTCTTCCTCACACCCCTGTTCCCGGCCAGGAGCTCTACGGCTACGGCTGGCCCCTTCTTGAGAAACCGAGAAGGGCCTGGAGACCAGGAGCCGGAAGTACTGTGGGATTTCGGTGGTGTTGCTCAGCTTCAGGTGGTGGGTGGTCAGCAGCTCACTCAGTACCTGGGTGGCCACAGGGGTGGAGGAGGCCGGGGATGCATCTCTCCCCCTCCTGGATCCCATGGCTCTGAGGAGGAGGCACTTCGGGGGGGAGGAGGACCCGGACTGTAGGAGGGCTCACGGCCATATCTGAGGTCTGGGGAGACCGGCGGGGCCCGGGGGTGGGGGTGGGAGACAGCACACTCACCCCAGTACAGGGCTGCTCCGGGATGAGGTCGCTGGCCTGGTGCCGGAACTCCACGCCACCACCGTAGTCCAGCTCCACGCTGAGCCTGCCGGCAAGGAGCACGGCTGGGCCCCGGGGGCCTCCTGGCTGTCCCCCTCCGCTCATCTGGCCCTAGCCAGCCTTTGCCTGGGCTCACCTGCTGCTGGCTTCTCCCGCCCATTGCCATCCTCTTGCTCCCAGAGTGCAGGTGCTCCCCACAGGGGGCTAACGGGAGGCCCCGCCAACTCACTGTGCGGGCCGCACGTAGCTGCACAGGTCCAGTCGCAGGGGTCCCGCGGCAAAGTCCTGCAGGCGACGCCTCCTCCCCGGAAGCTCTCTTTCCACCTGCGGAGCCCAAGCCTCATTGCTGGCGGCCCCTGAGCTGAGGAGGCAGCATGCCACCCGGGCCAGGGGGGCTCACCTCATCGTCCAAGCTCATGAAACCCAGGGCGTAGCCAACGCACGCCACCTTGTGCGGGATGCTGGTGCCGAGGCCCGTAGGTGAGAAGGAGATGGAGATGGTGCTGCTGCCCCCTGCAGGGACCACCTGGCACAGATGGCAGTCTCAGTGCCGCCCCCCGGCCACCCGCCCGCCAACGCGGCACTCTGCAAGGCAGCTCCCAGCCCCGCTGGACTCACCACCTGCTTGGGGCTGATGCTGTACAGGTGGTCGGCGGGCAGCCCGTCATGCTCCTGCAGAACGACGGAGATGAGCTTCTGCCGGGCCCTGTCGCTGACACTGCAGCGGTCCTTGGCCTGTCATCAGGGAGTCGCTGGGGCTCACACAGGCTCAAGGCTCACTGGCCCCAACTCAGCAGCCAACCCGCCCTGCCCCTCCACCCCTGCTCACAGCCTGGGCAGCTTCGTGGCTGAAGTCCGACGCGCTGAAGGGGCTTGGGGACCAGAAGGAGCTGCTGCTCTCAGGGGTCTCCGGGCACAAGAGGTCATTCCCAGCTTGGTCCCGCAGCGGGAAAGGTGGCCCATAATACACCAGCAGCTCCACCAGTCGGTCCTCCCTGTCTTCTGGAGTGTAGGTCTCCCAGTCCAGGCGGATGTCTGGGCGAGGGGGGTGAGGGCTGAGGAAGGGGCAGGCCAATCGTCCCTGGACACCCTCCCCACAACCCCTGCTGCTGCCTAGTCTCCCATTCTCAGGGTGGAGGGGGCCTTGCCTTCTTAATGCCACTTCCAGGCGGTTCTCGTTTTGAGATCAGTCTACAGGCTGTATCAGCTGGCTCTATCAGCCCTACCCGCTGGATCCCAGGAGCAGGCCTTCGCATCCAAATGCACCACTCCGGGTACTTGGGGCTCTCTCTCCCTGCCTTCTCCCCTCCATCAGCTCCCACTGCACTCCCTTCCTTCCCTGGCTGGGATAGTCTGGATGCCACCATGTCAACCTCCGTCTTGCCAGGATTCTCATCCCCCTTTACCCTCAACCTTCTACCCACCTGGCAAAGCCTAGCGCTGGAGAACTGAACCAAACCTCGGCCCGCTGTCACGCCTTCCCTGCTCTCGGACACCTGTGCCACCCCCTGGGCACTGGGCTGCTGGCCCCAGCTCACCTCCCCGAAGCCCCCACATCAAGACGGCCCCGAAGTCCCATTGCAACACCCCCATCTGTCGGCAGGCATCTAAGCCATCCCCCTTCCCTCCCACCTCAGTCCGCCTCCACCCCCTCTCGGGGGCCAGCCATGCCCTGTCTCCCCACCTTGAACAGTTTCCCTCCGCCAGATGACCTTTCCAAACCCCCTTCTCTCCCTCCCCAGCACGCCTGTAGGACCCTGTGCACCCTCGCCTCCCCCACTCTGCCCTCAGCCACTCCCCAGCTAACATCTGACTCGTGGCTAGCCCTGCGGGGGACCTGGTGAACAGGCCCACCCTCCTGAGCTCGTATTTCTTCAACTTACTGCCTTGGCACCTGCCCCTTACAGCCACCAAATCCCCCTCACCAAGGCCACCAGCGACCTCCCCCCACCCCCGCCGAAGTTCAGTAAAGACAGAAATATGCATGTGATGATGAGCCCTGAGGATAAGAAGGGGAACCACCAAAACACAAGAAGGTAGAAGAGAAATTCCAAATTAAATAAAAGGAAAACGGCACAAAGTCACAAAAAGCAAAAGAAAGTAGAAAAATAAAAGTCATTAAGTAAGGAAGAAGTACATAGACTGAATTTTGCTATTAAAAGATAATGTCAGGTTTGAGGCGCCTGGGTGGCTCAGTCATTTAGTGTCTACCTTCCCTCTCCCACTCTCCCTGCTTGTGTTCCCTCTCTCGCTGTCTGTCAAAAAATAAATAAAAATCTTTTTTTTTTTTTTAAAGATTTTATTTATTTATTTGACAGAGAGAGACAGCGAGAGCAGGAACACAAGCAGGGGGAGTGGGAAAGGGAGAAGCAGGCTTCCCGCTGAGCAGGGAGCCCGATGTGGGACTCGATCCCAGGACCCTGGGATCATGACCTGAGCCGAAGGCAGCCGCTTAACGACTGAGCCACCCAGGCGCCCCAAAAAATAAATAAAAATCTTAAAAAAAAAAAAGATAATGTCACGTTGGGCTTTTAAAAAGTTCAGCTCTCTGTTGTTTACAAAGAAACATATCAAAGTGATAAAGGGTAAAAACGGGGAAGGGCAAAGATGAGACTCAGTTCTCAAATGCATCTAACAACACAGCAGCTAAGAAGTGAAACTGCTGGAAACACCAGATTTTCTTTTTAAGCTTTTATTTTTAAGTAATCTCTACACCCAGTATGGGCCTCGAACTTAGAACCCCAAGATCAAGAGGCGCGTGCTCTACCGACTGAGCCAGCCAGGTGCCCCTGGAAATGCCAGGAGATCTTGAAAAAGCTGATTAGAGTAGCGAATTAAGTGCCCCTTTCCTAATGGGCCAGACCCCACGGACAGACGGAACAGGAACCCGAAGCACTGGCACTCTCCCGCTGCACATTCCTCACAGGCACCAAGGAGCTTCAAGTCCGAGCTGCCCGGGCCCTGCCCCTGAAGACTGGCTCAGCCCCTCGTGGCCCAGCCTTGAGATGCCTGAAACCCTGGTCCACCTCCAGCCTGCCAAAGCTCTGCCAGTGGTAGGTAGACTCTGCCAGTGGCCCAGACACTCTCCGTTCCCAGAGGCTTCGCCAGGCCCCGCTAGTTCATCCTTCCTCCTGGACGCAGTCTGGACACCCCACCCATGCGATCCTCCACAGTCCCCCTCAACGCACCCAACCTGATGGCTGCACACCCAGCAGCACAGGAGCCTCTCGGTAGAGACCCCGCTGTCCTGTTCCCTCTGGATCCCCAGCAACTTGTACCAGCACCTGGCTATCGCTCAGGTAGTGCTGGCTGAAGGGATGAGAAAAGGTGTCCCCGGCCAGGGTCTGTTCTTATGCAAAGTGAACCTGATGAGAGCAGGGCACCTGTGACACTGGGGGGCCCCCAGGGGTGGGCAAGGGCACGTCCTGTCCTCATGCACGGAAGCGGCTATTTCTGACAACCCCCAACCAGCGGATTTCTCCCCATCTGGGCCCTCAGGGGCCTCCCTCAGCAACCACGGGGACTCCTGGACTCCTGGGTCCCGGTCATGGACCGTCAGCTTCCCCCAGCCCCGGCGTCCCTCCCAGCCTGGCCCGCCACGTGGCACAGTGTGTCCCGAGAGCCCCAGCTTCTCTCGTGAGCCTCTCACCACAAGGGCTGGAGTTATTCAAGCGAAGGACCCGGGTGACCGTGTCTCCTCCAGAGACCTGGGTGCCGAACCTGGAGGCAGGAGACCGGGCTCATGCAGCGCAGGCAGGGCTGCTCACAGAGGGGGCTGGAACTGGGGCCCGGGCGGGGAGGAGGCCCGCAGCGGTCTATCCTGAAGTCACAAGGGCCTCGGGCTGGAGGCCTTCCCCGTGCAGTGCCCGGCGAGCGGTGACCCAGGGCTGCTCAGTGCCCCGGTAGCCCCCGCCCTACACCAGCACCTACCGACAGATCCCAACTGGTGGTGTGTGGGGCCCCAGGTGTGGCACGGACCTCAGGCCACCCTGACTACTTGCTATTTCTCCCCACCCCAAGCCCTCTGAGATGTGCAGACAGCAGCCGTGGCCTTGGAGGCCGCTCTCTTCCAGGGTGGCCCTGTCCTGGGGCTTTCTTGCTGGGTGGCACCAAGTAGCCTTGGGCCCGCTGGAGAGCAACAGGGTCAGCATGGGCAGCCAGGCTGGAGGCCAGAGGGTTTCAAGGGTTAGGGGATGAGGCCGGTGGGGTCACCTGATGACAGGTTCCTTCTGCAGCGGGTCAGTGGTATAATAGGTGGTCCTCCGGGAGCTGATGGGGCAGCCCACCACTGCCATATGCACCGGGATGACTGCTGGTGGCAGGTCTCCCACCTGCAAACGCACACCAATCCTGGGTCCCTCTCGTCCCCTGCTGCCATGGCCTTCCCTGGCTCCCCATTCCCTCTGTTCAAGGCCTTCCCTCCAACAGAACAATGGACATAGTTCACCCCTCCATACTGAACTAGGAACTCCTTGTTGGATCATCTGGTCTTATTTGTCCCTGTATCCTCCACAGTCCAGAGGACCCCACAGGAACCCCATGCACAGCAGGTGCCCCCTTCGGGCCGAATGAGTGAGTGAAGAAGGCCCAATGGGAGAGTGAGTGAATGCACCAAGGGCTAGGTGACAGTATGGCTCTGGAAGGCTGTTACTGCTTCTCCCTACTCACTGCCCCTCCAGGTCTCGAGTCCTGGCCCAAGTAGGCAGCCTATCAGATTCCTCTGCCCTCCTGTGTGCCCAGCCTCATGGGACCCCATGGGAAAAGGCATGAAAGATTCTGTTCCCGAGAACCCCTCCTGCGTGAATCACTGTGGTTGCTGTGGGTGTGAATGCCTATCCCACGCTCAGTGGGCATGGTCTTCCAGCTTGGAGAGACTTGAGAGGCTGAGGGCCAGGAGTTGGAGGAGGGAGAGCCTGAAGGTGAAGCCGGGCTCAGGCCATCTATCCTTACCGTGCAGATGAGGTTGTCCCAGTACTCGCCCCACATGTTTGCGTAGCCTGTGATGTCGATGCTTAGCTGCTGGTGGGCCCCCAGCATGCCCTGGGAAATGTGGGGAAAGAAGGCGGCTCCTTTGCCATGAGACAACATGCTTTCCATAAAATCTGGGCAATAACCAGGAATGGGGATTCAGGGCTCCAGGGCAGGAAGGAGGTCCAAACCCTCAGGAGTTAGCAGAGCACTATACCAGATAAGCCACTCCACAGCCTCGCCTTGGTCTGGTTAAACAGAGCCTCCTCCTGGGAGTCCAGAATCCAGCAGGCAGCCTCACTCACCTCTCAGGGACCAGGCCCTGGTGGGAGCCCTCCCTTCCGAGGCGTCACCCATCCCAAATCAAAATTAGGCCTTGTCCACGGGCTGTATGCCCCAGCCAGGAGACAGCCTCATTCAAAAAGGGAGTCAGGAGAAGGGCCATGGCCATCTCAGAGGTCTTGCTAGAAAAGATACTGAAATGGGGCTGTGGCCAGGGCCCCCTCCCTGCAGCAGGCAGCCCACCCTCTGAGAAGGCCCCAGGAACCCCTGCTCTGGCCCACCCTGGGGCTCTTACTCAGCTGCTCTCGCCTGGCCAAGTGTTCTCGAATCCGCGATGTCTTCAGCAGGGCAGGGGGCATGTCGGGGCTTTACCAGACAGGATACAGAAACAGCATCAAGCCATCAGGGCTGTTCCCCAGAGCTGAGCCATGTCTCCCCGCAACTAGCATCCTACCAGGTACCCAGTGGAGGAAGGCCGCTCTGACTGCTCCTCCCAGGGGAGAGGTCAGGTCTGTTCACCTCCCTCTCTGGTCTTGGCACCTGCTACACCCCCATCACCCAAAGCCCCCTGGCTACAGGCCACCCACCAGTCGAGGGACTGCCTTCCCAGAAATGCAGCAGGGCGCTGGGGTAGGGACTCCTTGTCCCCAGGCTCTGCCCTGCTGACCCCGGATACCAACCCAGCCCAGACTCCTCATCTCTTGCCCAGCCTTCTGCAAAAGGCCCTGTTTCCAGTCTTTCCTGCTGACATCTGTCCAGCATCAAGTGCCCACTAACTTTCCTGGAGTGGGAAAGGTAATGGCTTACAAACCGTGAGCGGCGTCCCACCAGCCATGGCAGTGGTTTTCAAGTTGGGCTTCCTCGCCTTAGGAGACGAGGTGGTGAGGTGTTTGCTCTGGCGTGCTGGTAGACCGCCAACTTCTGTGGCGTAAATACTTTCCCC